CTGTGCACCCGCGTCTCTGCTCTGTTTTTCTTTCTTTTTTTGTCTGTGTTGTTCTGTTCTATTTCTTCTCATTTTTCTGTGCTGTCCCATCTTCTTTCTCTGTTGTGCCGTCTTCAGCGTATGTGCATGTGTCCTTGGTTCTGTTTTTTTTTGCTAGCCGATAGCATATGCGTACGTGTTCCGGTTGCTTGCTGTTTTTCTGCTTTGTTTTGCTTCTTCTGTGCCCAACCGAAAGCGTACGTGCGTGTGTGTTCTCTTTTCTATGTTGCATGTGTATGCTCTGCACTTGTTGTTTTTTTTTACCTTGCATGCGTGCTTGTTTCTGTGTCTCTGTGCTGTTACAAAGCCGAAAGAGCTGTGTGTGTGTGTACGGCAGTCTATTTCTTTTCTCATTTCCTCTCTCCAACCTACCAACATGTACGTCCTGCTATCCCTTCTTCTCTTTTTTTTTTTTAACTTGAAGAATTAGATTAAAAGGAAGAAGAAAGAAAAGAGAAAAAGAAATTAATTTTGAGTTAAATCAAAATATTTCCCTCTCTCTTTTTTAAAAAAAAAAAAACAGATTAAAGAGAGAAAGAAAAAGATAACAAAAATTAACTCTCAAAAGTTGATTCTTGAATATTTTGAATGATTGGGATAATTTGGGAGAGATTTTCTTTTCAAGATTGAACACTTTTTTTTATTTTGTTAAATTATCATTATTATTATTTTTTTGAAAATATAATCTTAAAAAGGGATTAAATTTCATTTTTATATTTTTTATATTTTTTTGATTTTTTATTATTAAAATTTTAAAAAAAATGCCCGGACAAAATACGGTGTTCACACCTTGCAAATGTTCATTGTTGAGCATTACTTTGGTTGGATACAAAGGACCTGTTTTTTGGAACATTAAAGAGGATCTATGATGAGAGGAATTTGATTTGCTCGTGGAAATCAAGGAATAGATGAAGAGTTTGATAGAAATGAGTTACCACATGCAATAATTTGTGGCCCAAAATATATTGATGCTTTGTTATTCATAAATCATGAATAAAAACAGTTCATTTTTGGGACTTACTTGCATAAAAGTGTTTAGTTGTGACTTGTGATTGTGATTCTGTGATCAATCAAATATTCAATATTCATCAATTTGGACTTTGTTTTATTACTCTGAAAGATGCAGTTACTTTTTTTTTTTGTGCATGGACTTTTTTTTTTTAAATTCAAAACTATCTTATTTAAGGCACTGTCATGTAAACCAAGTTGTTGATGGCTTGGCTAAGCAGGAAATTCATATTACAACTTTCTATGACATGGCACCTCAATTTTTTAGGGACCTAGTGCACAAAGATTGCTTGGGATTTCAATCTCTTACTGTTTAATTTTACTTCTATTTAAAGGCAATAGAAGGTTCAACGATGTACAAGATGATGTTCAGCAATTTAGTTATGCATGCTGAACTTTCTGTTAATTTGGGCCTTTATTGTCATTTTTTCTCATCTGGAGGTTCTGAATGTGATTCTTTGTGCTTTTTTTATTTAAAAAGGAGGAATAAAGTACAAGATAGTATAAGTTTGAAAGCATTTGTATGTGCCAACCAAAAAAAATGAAGCACTACTTTAAAGGCAATGAATTATGAGGGATAAGATTTAAAAATTTTTTTGGGAGAAGATCAAACTATATTAGATAATAAAAGTACTTGTAATAAAATGTTATAGTTTAAAGCTGTTATAAGAAAACCATGAAGAGAAACTACAAAAAATATAGAACATGCTATGCGAGACAAAAAAAAAATTATTGTACCTTGAACTCTAGAAGAAGTGATTTGATATCCAAGAGGATCAGATTAGTGGAATCTTTCAAGAATAATCTTAAAAAGTAGTGATTTTTTTTTTTTTTACCATTTTAATCATACAAAGTGAAGCCACTTTAAAGTATTTTTGTTAATCTTTTCAGCTAGTTAAAAGTTAACCTATATTTTAAAGAGGATAAATTCATCAATTTATATGACTCATGATGCACCAAAAAATATAAAACATTTTAAAAAATTAAGATTTTATTGAATAAACTTATTTCAATATTATCCTTTTTTTTTATTTAATTTTTCATCTCTCTCTCTCTTTTCACTATTTTATATGAAGAGTATTTTTGAAAATTTATATTTTTATATTAAAAAAATTAAGATCATTAAGCATATTTAATAATAATTATTAGTATATGATATTTTTTTCAAAAGGATCTTATATTGTAATTTGATATTGATAGAGTATCATCTTTTAAATTTTTAATCTCTTCATGTAATTTCTTATAAATAGAACTCTTCTTTACATAATTTAAAACAAAAGTTTGCAAGCTTCTTCTTACAAAATATATTGACGACCAATAAAATTGCTTCGTTTTGGTGCAAAAAATAGTAATAATAATAACGAGCAGTACACGTAACGTAACGCCGCAATAGACATAAATTGCCTAATCGAATTAGGTAGCCTTGTTATGGCTTTACATAATTGAAGTACGTTCATGAATGAGTAGAAAGTAGAAACAGCTTGCAAATTGAGAGAGTCAAATGAAGAATTTTGGCCGAAAATGAAATAAAATATGTAGTTAATATTATGAAGGATTGCTTGCTTGTTGCTTGCCAGTCGTTGAAGATGCTGTCCTCCACGTTCTATCCCGCCAAAAACACTGCTAAGTTATATGCTCTTTCAGTTTTTTAATAAATCATTTTTAAGTAACTTATTAAAATAAAATTAATTTAGTTAGAGTAATAAAATTATCTTAAAAATAAATCATGTTTCAATTTTGCCTCTAAGTCTAAAAAAGAGTTGTTTGAAATGTTAAAAAAGTTTTCTTAGGAATGGAAACAATGCACTTTTTTTTAGAATTTTTTAAAAGGTAGTTTTAAAATAGTACATTAAAGATAAAAGCAAGGCAAAATGACTTATATAAAATATCCAAAAAAAAACTTTTTAGAATGTGATTAATAAAAAGGATCAGCGGGTAATACTAAATTCTTGTCATTAATATATATACACACACACTCCTACTCTTATTTATAAAGGAGAAAGAGAAATTTTTTTGGCCATATTACTAAGTCATGCTATTAAATTTTTATCAAGAAATTTTTGTTACACCCTCCATTTAGTGTTAGTAAAAAAAACATTATTAAAATATGAATATTTAATATAAATTAATTAAAATCTTATCAATTTTTAGATAATTTTATTGAGTTTTAAAGTTTTCCATCATCTTGATAAAACTGTGCCTAGTAGAATTTTTTTTTTTTTTTGGGATGAGTTTAGCCCGAGAAAATTAAACAGTGCCTCTTTAGTGGAAGGCTGGAAGCAGCATGATTATTGGTCAACTCGCATAATATTTTATTAATTTAAATAAATCAATATCTCATATCGTCTAAACATGTTTGATAATTCGACATTTCGAGCTGATGATATTTATTTTATTTTATTTTAGTTTTTAGTTAAGGTAGGAAGAACATGTGATTGGGATAATTAATTACAGAACCATGGAGTACTTGAATATAATATTGAATTGTACTATAGGTTAATGTGAAATGTAGTGTTGTTGGGTCAAGTTCATGCCTCCATTCCTTGTTTGGAGTGTTTTTTTTTTTTTTTTGGAACCAATTATTATGATTGCTAACTGTATTTTAAAGTGTAATATTTTTAAGGATTACATGAATAAATTATCACTTATATTTTTTAGATATATTTATCTGGTCTTATTTATAAATCATTTTTAACATGCATATTTTGTCAAAACTAAGAAAAATCATAAAACTCATTAATTATATATAAAAATTTAATAAATTTTTAATTTTACTCCTATAAAATATGCATTCTTTAATAACATGCTTTTCCTCGTCAACATTTAATGAAAAATAAAAAAAATTAAAATTATGATAAAAAATTAATGACATGTAAATAAAATAGGAGGGAGTATAAATTAATTTTTTGCACTATCATAAGAAGTTTTTTTTTTTCCAAGAAGAAACACAAATAAATTGATGATACTCAAAGTTTGTGAATCAGCTAAATCTTAGCATTTAACAGGCTAGCTAAATAACAAGCGTGCTTCTCTGTCGAATAATGCTTTTAACATGTGTAATAACGTTCTCCTCCAGCCCCACTTCCTTCAATAAATGCAATGCCTAAATGGGCCCTGAATATTTAAGATTAAAAAATAAATAATTTTTAAATAATGTAGAGTTTTATAAAAAGATATTATTTTATAGAGGTTTTATACTTTTATAGAAAAGTAAATATTATTGTTGGCTATTTTTAAATAGAGTTAATAAACATCCTAGATTTTAAACTATTGCTTGGATAACATTATGAGTTAAGAATTATTGAAATGTGCAAAATCTCAAAGATTTTCTCCCTTCAACTTTTAAATTTTGAGCATTAAAAACCTTACTGTTAAGTTAAAAATTAAAAATGGTAATTACTTTTAAAGAACAAAATAAGTATACATCACCATGCAATTAGGCTTCACAATTATAAAAATAACGGAATGGTGTTGTTGCCAGAGCATATAGATCCTTCCATGATGAACATCCGTTTTTTGTAACACCTTAAATCCAGACTCTACACAACATTACAATTCATGAGTTTTATTTTGCTGAATCAATGTGCGTGTGTATAACATTGTTAAGTGCATTACATGTCATCATTTCCATTCCAGTCAGGGGACAAGAATACTCAACCTTTTTTTCCATTAACCTCATGTTATCCTTAAATTAATAGTAGTGTATATATATACCTATTAATTTTATAAAAGAGATCAATATTTCCCTAATCTGTTAAGTTTTAACCTTAGAAATTATTCTAATTTGATTGATTAATAAGAGCATGTTGAGCATATAAAGCTAAAACTAAGAATGTGAAAATATTAATTCTGATATACATTTTTTAATTCCTGATTGAATATGATATCTTTTCCTATTTAATTAATTACGTTGAAATCCCAAAAAAAAAAAGTGAAAGAGAAGGCAAAATACATTTTGTCTTGTTCATTCTTCTCAGTCAGAAAGCTACTCATATCATTTGAGTTAATTCTACTTGATAACTGAATACATAATGCTATATATGAAAAACCACATCATCATTTTATCACCTTCTCTTGAGAAATTTGTTCTTTTTCATCACTTGTGCAGATTGGGTACCTGAATGGTTTTCAGCAATTTTTCAAAAAGGTAAGTAGTGGAATAACGGTTGAAGTGACATTAGAAGAGCTTAAATAGGATAGTAGTCCCTCGCCTCTGAAATAATTGTGACGTTGGAGTTGTACATGGAATAAGAAAGTTAATAAATAGATCAAGTTTTATCAAAATGCATTAATGGTATTTTACTTAAATTTATCTTACATTTTTGAACGGAAGGAATAACTATTTTAAAAGGGAAGGAGTAAGAAGAAGATCAGTTATATTGTTACCTCTTTTCTCTCTTCTCCCCAAACTTTTGCAACTACTTGATGAAGAAGTGTTGGTGAAAGCTTGACCTGATGAGGAGTAGGAAGTAGTGGGGTCGGGTGACATTCACTTGCATCTCTTCTTTACATATCACTCTCCACCCACATCCCAATATTTCAATGTTAGAACTTTGAAAAGTAGAAAGTAAAATGTGAAGGGAATTGTTATGAGGTGTCAGATGTTGCCAACATGTTTTCTCATTTAATTCCAATACCATTAATATGCACAGATGAGAAGGAGTCTTATAAGATTCCCAAATATCAATATCATGTGCCCACTCTTTGCATATATAATCATCTCCTGCAGCAGCCTTACTACCCCACCAAATCACACCACTCTCACCTGAGACATGGAGGCATACTACAATTCCAAACCATTCACTTTCACGGAGATATAGAGGTATGTCCACTTTTATCTCACATTCTCGTCTGTACTCATCCAAAAGATGATATTCTTTACTTGTACAACATGATGGTAATTTGCATCCAGCTGGTATAATTGCAACAAAATCTCTTTGGGGCAGACATTCTGACTGCACTAATACTAAACTGTTATTCTCATTAATTAATTACCCTTAATGGGAGCATGTCCCAAATAATACACACGAAAAAGAGATAGATAGTCATACCTTAACATGCTTGAACATCAACGGTGGAACAAAATAACTATCATGCCTCTCATGATCAGAATTTACATATTCAATTTGCCGACGATACTAAGACGAAGAATTCATTATGTTATGTATGTATAATTAAAAAAAATACACACGAGTCATTAATTTTAAATAGATTGTAGGAAGACAAACATATACCTCATGGTCATGTGAAGCAACCAAATTCCATACTTGTCGACCTGATAAAGGTTCCATTGAATCACAACCAACTGCACTTAACCGAATCAACTGTAGTGGAAGCCTTGGCAATGACTTGAGCCTTTTGCAATCATCCAAAAAAAGATAGAGAAGTCGAAAGAGACCAGAGAAACAACCCGTGGGCAGATTAACAAAATCATTTCCTCTTAGATCCAATACAATGAGTGATGATAAACCACTAATATTATCAGGAATTGATCCCTCATTTAAGCCACAACATAGTAAATATAACTCTGTTAACAACGTAAGATTCAAGCAAAAAATTTGGTGATTCACAGGACTAGTCTTCACTGACTTGTAGCAGCCACTCAATTTCAAATATCCAAGACCTGTCAATGAATCAAGTGATTCTGGAAATGTAGTTATAGCAGTACCACTCACATCAAGATATGATAGTTTCTTCATGCCTTCCCCAAACTCTGGGAACATTGCAACTTTTCCACACCTACTTAGATCTAACTTTTCTAAAGAATTTGTTTCCCATTTTCTTGGTAGGATTTCAAGATTGCTACACTCACTCAAGTTCACCTCAACTAGCCTTTTCAACTCTCCAAGTGAGCGATGAACCATGACAAGGGATTGACAGGAATAAAGATTTAAATGTTCTAAATTTGGAACTCTTGAGAAGTCCAGAGTTTCAATCAAATTGAAAGAATTGCTTAGATCAATACATTTCAACTTTTCCATAGGCTAGACAAATAAAAGATATGAGAGTTAGCCTCACTAAACGATATATCAATAAAACATGGACACAAACATACTTTTAAAATAGATAATATTACATGGAGTGTTAATCTCACCTGTCTACCATTCCAAAGGTGTTTTATTTTGCTCTGCTGCATTTTAATATGAACAAGTTTATCCAAGGGAAGTGGGAGAGTTTCAAGAGGAAATTGTAGCCAATGAACAACTTTCAATGCACTAGAAAGTTTCAATTCCCTTGGTAAGATGAGTTCACAATCGGCTGCATTCATTATGAGCAATCTAATATTATTCATCTTTGAAAAGGCCTCAGGGTGTACTTTTCTTTTATGTAAGTTCCCATAAAATCCTCGCATAACAATAACTTGTGTTGCTTCAGATCCCTGACAATTGCCACAAAAAAAAAACATCAAAATGATAAGAAAGTAAAGTATATATAACTAAAAACTTGAGATCTATGTTAACAAAATGAGATATTATATTTAGAAAGTTGCTTTGTTTCATATTTAAGTAATTTTTTTTTCTTTTAAAAGACAGAAATTAAAAAATTTGTTTGAATGAGTATTTCGAATCTAATTATTTCTAAAATTGTTTTCAAAAAAAATATAAATATCATAAATCCATTTTCATTTTATTTTTCTTATTTTCAAAATACATTATATTTGATTATTGAAAACTAAAGTTACATCGACCAATAATTACCATAAAACATCACCATTAATCACTAGTAGCCATCATTATCAATCAATTTTAATTCTAAAGCTAACTTTAAATCAGCAAAATCAAACAAATTTTATTTTTGTCTTGTTTTGAAAAACAAATTTAAAAACTATATTGCAAAACACCTTTTAAAAACAAAATATGAGAACAATTTTTGTTTTGTTTTCAATGCACTAGAAAGTTTCCATTCCTTTGGTAAGATGAGTTGATTATTAGTGTACTCTATTATGAGTAATCTAATATAAATCATCTTTAAGAAGGCTTTGGGGTGTGCTTTTATATTTTCTGCGTTCCATCAATAATATCCTTCCATAACAACAACTTGTATTGCTTTAGATCCCTAATAAAAGTGTCAATTGTCAGGAAAATAACATGAAAATGATAAGAAAGTAAAGTATAATAAAAACTTGGGATCAATTTCTATTAACAAAATGAGATGTTTAGAAAGTAAGACACTCACCATGTTATTTTCCAATACTTCTTTAATGTCCTCTAACTTCCACAACCTGCTACGGTTGCCAACATTGGGAGATTCTTGACGAATAATATCCTTACCCAATTCTTCAAGTAAATCATGTATCTCTAAAGTAGAATATCCCAAAAAATCTTCTGTTTCAACTAGTAAAGTTTTTTCAATCAAGACTTCTATTCCAATTGTCGGGTTTAGATCACAACCTTTCAAAACTTGGGCCACTTCATCTTTTCTCCAACCCCTAAAAAAACAAGCAATATCTAAAAATATTGTCTTTTCTATCTCATTTAATCCATCATAACTTATTTTAAGTATTTTAAGAATATTAATATCTAGAATTTTCTTCAACCTATCCAAAGTATCGATCCATTCATCTTTACTTCTTCCGCAAAGAAAAGAACCTAGAACTTTAAGTGCTAAAGGAAGACCTGCTGCATATGCAACCACAGATTTAGATAACTTCAAATAACCTTCTTCAGGATGATCTTTGTTAAATGCTTTCTTAGAAAAAAGTTGAAGAGACTCAACTTTCTCCATGGCTTTCATCTCATATATTTTCCCTCCACATGAAGTGAGCACATGCTTATTTCTTGTTGTGATAATTATTCTGCTTCCTTTACCAAACCAATTTGAACTTTCAGCCAACTTCTCTAATTGACTAGTATCATCTAAATCATCAAGGACAAGAAGAACCTTTTTATTGCAAAAAAGCTTTCTTATCATCTTCATTCCTTCATAATCATCATGAATTTTCTTGTTTATGCCAAGATAAGAAAGAAGTCTTTTCTGCAAAGAGACTAGGCCTTTTGTTTGCAAAGTTTCTCTAACATTGGCAAGAAAGCAATACATTTCAAATCTGTCAGAGATTTGTTCATAAACAACTCTTGCAAGAGTTGTTTTGCCGACACCACCCATACCCCATATCCCAACAAAGTAAATGTCATCCAACCCAATCTCTAAGCATGACATTAGATCAACCATTCTTCGCTTTGTGCCAACCAGATTATCATCATAAGATGGTAATTGGGAGCATAAATATTTCCATATTGCTCCCACTACTTCATCGATAAGGTGCGCTTCGGGCCTATAAAATAAAACAATAATGCAAAATATGACTTTCTATGAATATTGTCTACTAAAATTAGATATAATGTTGCAGACGGTGATGGGGAGATAATTGAATTGTGAATTCGTGGGCAAGAATTGATCAAATGGCCTGCTAGAATAAAAAATTCGATGACGATTTTTTGAAAAAATAAACTTATCAACAAATGTTTCTATAATTTGTGATATATGAGCTGTAATTCAGTTAATTTGCTCATCCTTTTAAATTTTATCTTTCTGAACAAATTAAAATCATTAAAAACGAATACAAGTAATAAATACAAATAAAATAAAAACATTGGATGGAGATGTGAATAGAGTTTTAAAATTCAAGTCGTAAGTATGATCAAGCCAAAAAAATTAAAACAATTAAGTAATTGATATGAGCCTTACTGACCCCATTTATCAGTGAAGACTAAGTTTAACAACTCATGAAATGAATAATCTCCATCTATTTCACCAAAACAAATTACAAAGTACTTATACGTGTTTTGCTCAAATATAAACGATAGATAAACGAATAAAACGACACTGAATGAAAACATTTATTGTTTAATTCTATTTCTTATTTTCTACAGCAACTAATAATCTTTAAAATATGGTCAAGTCATTTTGAAAAATAACCTACCGACTTCTGGTGTCCCAACCAGATATGTTTCCAATTTCAGATAAAGAGTTTTTCCAAATCTGCACTGTGTCCATGTTTCCTCTGTGTCTTTTTCCATGATTGGCCAGAGCTTCTCCGAATCTTTTTCTTTGATTTCTTACATCAGATGGATCTACGTCATAGAAGATTGGAAAAACTCGTCGACCCATTTCGTTCATGCTTGCAAGAATTTGTTGTAGTTCGTCCAAACACCATTTGGAATCTGCATAATTTTGAGAGAGAACCACAATTGCGCAGCGAGAATCCTTAATTGCTTGAATGAGTTGTGCTGATATAACTTCTCCTCTCTCAAGTCCTTCATCATCTCTAAAAGTTCTTATCCCACTTCTAGTGAGAGCATGATACAAGTGATCAGTAAACTTCAAGCGAGAATCTTCTCCTCTAAAACTCAAAAAAACGTCATATTTCCAAGTTAGAGTTGAATTAGAAGCACCAGAGGTTGAGGAAGATTCTTCCAAGACAGTGTTCGCCATTGCAGGTTTGAATTTCTTGGTGGTTGTGTCCAAATTTGAGATCTACACAATCAAAATCATATCAATAATTGCCAAAGAAAAAGAAAAAAGAATATCAGATCCATGAACCAGAACCAATGGATTTAAAATACTCCCCGCACAATGCTGGATGGATGCAGCCCAGCTATGAATGTTGTTGAATAGATCAGAGATCTGAGTTTCCTCTTTACTACTTCATACTCAGTGCTGTGATTTGACGTCACTGAACTACAAGCTGTGGAGAGAAACCAGAGAGATGTACAGCTATAGAGGAGACCCAAGCCAAGACCTGTTTTGCCCGTCAATGACTTTCTTTTTTCTATGTCGTTCAATTTACTCAATCAAAAGTGAACTATTTCAGAGGGAACCATCTATTTACTGTTATGCTTGGTATTGTGAATGCACATCTGTATTAAAAAAAAATACTATTTCATTTAATTTACTAGCCTATGGCTGGGTATATGCTGGAATTGAAATATGATTTTAAAATATTAGCTTTACTCTAGCGTGTAGATACCTAGAGATGAAGGAAAGAAAAAGAAGGGGGTGAAAAGGTTGGATGCAATAACAGTTATGTACAAAACTTTGAATTCATTGTCTGATATGTTTTGTCATTGTCGTGTCTGATTGGTGCTTCATGGGAACCCAAAGCAAATTGCTGTATCTAATTGATTTATAAATTTATCCTTCTTAGCTCTTCATTTAATATGTGTAAAAATTTACTCAAAAAAAAATATGGGTAAAAATTAAACATGGTTTGAAATAAATAAATAAATAAATTATTGGTTTAATGATTTACTGATTTTATTAGTTTTCGCTGATTTGATCAATTTTAAATTATTGCCAACTAATTTGCAATTTTACTCCCAATTTATGGAGTGGATCATGCTCCGATAATTGTTTCACCGGTTAAAAAGTATGCTTCTCCCAAATGTAATTTGTTGAGTTGCAGTGATAACGACTTGGCTGAACTTTGGGGCCTTCTTTTTGGCCTTAAGCTGGCATGGGATAACAGATATCGTCGACTTCTTGTCGAGACGGATTCTACAGAAGCTATAGAGAATGCGAAGATCCCTCCCAACCCTGAACGCAGTGATAGGATCCTAATCGAGGAAATCAGACAACAGCTTGATTGGGATGGGAAGTCCGCATCCAACACGTTCAACGAGAATGTAATCAGGCTGCTGATGCGTTCGCGAAGCTTGGATTTGATGCGATGCCCGGTGTAACATCCTTGATTTTTAAACTGAATTGATTAAGCCTGAACTTGATTAAATTAAGTATACTAGTGAGGTGTGTGGCCAAAGATGCTTAATAGGCATGTTTGATAATGTTTCAGTCCTGAAAATGGGTTCAAAAGAAAATCGGGTTATCCAGGAATAAAAAGAGGAAAGAAATCTAAAAGAAAAAGCTCTGTATCACGTGCTGCTAACATGTCTAGAGAGGTCCTCTCTATGCCATGTGCCGCGGCGCATTATATGTCCGTCGCAACGCATGGCCACTTTTCTACAAAATAAGATTGCAAAAAAAGATTATGCAAAAGAAAGAAATGAAGATATATGAAGGATGGGTGATAATGCTCTCTGTTAAGGTTTGAGAAATTCGAGCATTAAAAGTATTTTGAAGCTCATAAATATTAAATGTAAGCTTCCTACACTCAAAACTTCCTAGTTCCTTCCATTTTCTTAGTATTGAAAGTTAAGGTTTGTTTGGTAATAATGATTTTCGATTCATATAAACTATGGGTCTGAACGCATTGACTTAAATAAAGTTAATGGGAGTAGATCGAGCTAATGAAACATGGTGTTTATGGAGCTATGATGATTGGTAATTGGGGAGCATTTAATATCCAAAAATTCACCATAAATATGTTATTGGGGACAAAGTGATTTCATTAATGACCATTAAAGAGTTCAATGAAGTTAATGTAGACTAGAAAAAGCTAACAAACCCTATGGGTATTCTTTATATGAGTAAAAAATGAATTTTAAACATGAAGAAGTAATGAGTTAATAGTGAAAATTAACCCAAATGTGGATATTGATGAATTTCATTATAAATGTTTGTGGAGTGACTATTTTTAGTACTATTCAAGCTTCTTAGAAGTTTTGAGAATGAGTATTTGAGGGGTGAAAGCTTTGACCTCTCAAAGGTTTGAGATAATTGAAAAAATTTTACAATGTGCTTTTGTGTCTCAATTAATTTATTAATTAATTTTTGATAACTTAAATGTGTAAAATTGAATGGAATACAAGAGTGGCTTGATTTGTTTGAAAACCCTCTATAAAGTGGCTAGTTAATGAAGTTTATGATTCTATGTGTTATGTGGAATTCCATAAATACTTGTAAATAGAGTTCAATGATTTGGAAGGTGAAAAGTTCAATGAATATTGTTATTTTGGGAGTTCTATAAATGTTTATGATGTGGAGTGTAATGATGTGACTTTCTACTATGAGAAGTTCAATAAACATGCATATTGTTGTAGAGTTTAATGAAAAGTATTTTTGAGGAGTTCAATGATTGATTTATGCATCTTGTTTTGATTATCATGTGTGAAATGAGTACAGTGATATTGTTACGCATGCTTATGTAGTGAATACTTGCATGCTATAAATTATTACATAAAGATGCATTGCATAATCGTAAGAGATGGGAGTTTGCCTAGGTAGAGAAGTAAAGATCTAAATCCACGTGGTAGGACTCCCATCAAAGTGGATGGCTTGCCTGGATCATTTATATACTTATTATCCTACTTGTTCAACGAGGGACTGTCTTACTAGTTCAATGAGACACTTGAACCTAACTAACTATCTACTGATTCAACGAGAAAGTTAGTTTAGGGAGAATGACACCCCATAATGTGAGAAAATAAGAGCAATCATGTTTCACAAGTGAGTTGGAAAAAACCTTGGTCGGGTGACCCCTCATAAATATTTAGGCTAAGGAAGTCTCGGATTATAGACTATCCCAGTTTGTTACAGCCTATGGTTTCAAGTTAGAGGAATAAGGAGGATATAAGGAAAATGTGATCATGCATATAATGAGAAAAAGGGCATATGATTGTAAGTATTGTAACCCTCATGTTGATGACAGCGAGTTTAACTCAATTCGATGTGAAACTATGTTAAAAGATCATGATATTAGTTCTCTTCTTGTATGAAATTATATTTACTATTCATGATCCTTTAAGCATGTGCAATTATGTTTAAAAATGTGGATTTTATGCTCTAGAGAATGATATATAATTTGAAATCATATTTAATTAGTCACTTGCATTTAAATTAATTGATATGCATTAATATAAGTTAGTTGGACCTTGGTTACTGAGTGATTGAACTCACCCTATTATCTTCAATATTACAGGGAATAGCTCAAGAGGATCGGACAAAGGAAAATTACCAGAGGCATAGGATTGTTATCCTATTAGTAGGCCTCTTTATTTTAAATATTTATGTGTAAATGATGATTAAAATTGCCAACTAAAAATTATCCATTTTTGCATCTTACTTGCACTACGTGTATTGTGGGTTATAAGTGTATTTTGGGTTTTAGGATATGTGTTTGTGATTTATGGCATTGATAGTATAGTCAAAATACTAGTGCAAGTAAGAGTTGAGAATAACTTGAATAGTTTATGAATTATTTGATGAAATGGGTATTTTAACTCCCCTTTCTATTTTTGAGAATTAAGGGGATGAGTGTTGAGAATGTGATTTATAAGCATTTTGCATGATGTGGTGCGTTGTGTAAATTAGTTTTGTTATATTGTACGTGGTCTAAGTGGTGTCAATAGCTCTTGGCTTTTGGTGAATTATTTAGACACTTAATTTTGTGAAAAATGTAGTAAAAGTGTAAGTTCTCTAAAGAGTATTCAAATTTCAAATATGTAATAATTTGGTTATGGAACCAAAGCCATTAGTTAGAACTCGGAAAGAGCTTTTCGTATACACCTAGCTCACATCAATCAGATGTCGAATGGAGAAATGAAACACGTCAAAAGTTACTCTAAAAGCTGTCAAACCAATTGTAAAAGTTTGTTATCATGAATCGTGCAATGTGACACGACACATTGTGCAATGAGCCGCGGTGATGACACAAAGACAAACAAGCCGCAGTGCTTGTTCAATGAGCCGCAGTACATACCCCTAAAAATCACATAATTGCATTGTTTTGTGATTTCTTAGCATGTGCATTGAACCTTAAAGTAATCTCATGCTTCTACGTAATTATAAACTTTAATTTATAAATTTTGAAATTTTTTTAAATGGATTTAGTTTTGAAAACTTGGGGCATTATCTTTATAACTTATTTGCAAACTTAATAAACTTATTTTTACCTCAATCCAATTTTTTTGATTAATTGAAATTTGAAGTTAATTATGAACTGTGAGGGAGGATATTGCACCTAGCTGTCATATTTTCCGTCAGCCTCCTTGCAAGGTTTGCCATGTCATTGAGCAAGAATATACTACTGTGGTTTGTAATGGCATTGCGTAGGCAATGATTTTATAAAAACTAAAAAAATTATTGGATTAATGATTCAATGATTTTATTAGTTTTAGGTGATTTCATCAATTTTAAATTAGTGCAAACCAATTTGCAATTTTACTCCCAACTTATGGAGTGGATCATGCTCGGATTATTGGTTTCACCGCTTAAAAGTATGTTTCCAAAACTTATTATAGTTTTGTCTCTACATAGATTTGGTAAATGGATTACGTACACTACTCACTCAATGAATATTTTATGTGATACAATAATTACATTTTGATTTAATTGAATGGTTGATAAGTTTTATTATTTGGATAAATTTATATCATATAAGTCCTAGTTTATGCAAAGTATACCACTCCAAAATAAATGTATTTTCAAATGAATAGAAAAAATATTTTCAGCCTTGCATTAAGTTTTCAAAAGTGAAAAAATATATTAAAATAATAGTTTAAATCTTTACTATATAGAAAGGAGAAAGGAACAACGTCAAAGGGAGAAAAAAGGGAGATGAGCAATTATTAATAATCATCCATTTAGTCTTTCGGGTTTGACTTAATTATTAATTTATTTTTTTTAAATTTAATTTTTATCAATATGATTTCTCATGTTTTTTAAATTATCATGTTAATTTTTAAATTTTAAAACACTAATTGATTTTTAAATTTATCTAATATGTAAATTATATTGATGACTTTACGTATACATGTAGATCACCTGATATTTTTGGGGTAGTAGACCATTCAAGAATGTTGATTTATTGCATATGCCTACTTGACAAAATACCTTCCTTCCATG